ATTGTTAAATGCTCAGAGACGCTGCTCAGTGTGGTGGGCGTTATATAAATGCAAGTTGTTGTTGCTGCTGTTGTTATGTCCAAAAACATTACACTTTTGTCAGAAAGGTAACAAACTCTTTTGGTAATTGTGGTTTTTGTGAAATGCCAGTTATTTTCCTGCAAAGATCAAGGCTCAGTCCACTAACAAATTATCTTTTTAAAACTGTTTTAATTTGTTACTTCATTGATTCTGCAATCAACACCTGGATAGAAACTCAGATTGGAGCTGCTGAAACATTCATTAGTGTTAATCAAATTAATCCACATTGCTTCCAAATATGTTAAACAAAACTGTGCAGTTATAACAACTTGCCTTGTGCATTTTAAACAAACATTGTTGTGTTTTGTGAATAACATTTCTTTTGATTCATAATAATTCTCATAGTTTACTTTTATATTCTTCGCAACCACCACCACCACAGGTAATGTTAATGTTACTATAATGGATTTCTGCCTCGCATTCATCCAACTTCAAATCAAGATTACTTCAAATCAGAGGAATTTGACTTCTGCCGATTTGGAATCAGAGAGAGATTTTTTAAGTCATAATAAGGAAACTCTTTAGAAAGGAACAAGAATTGAACCAAATTCAGAACCTAAAGTGAATTGGACAAACTTATGGATTTGTGCAAGTTACCTTGAAACGTATGTTTATACGCAAAGTAACAGTGAACCTTTGAACAAAAAATATGACTATTTATACTTATAGCTATGTTGTGAAAGTCCAAAGGAACACAATCCCCCTTTGGTCATGTGTTCTCAAGTTGCTTCTAACACATGCTGACTGCGAGACTGATCATTTTTTAGTTTGTATATTCATAAAATAATACAAATTCCGTAATTGTTTAAGGTGTTATAAATTTTCAACCTGTTTGTTCTGGTAGTCTGTTCAGGATAAACCTAATTTCTGAAAGTCCGGCAGTAGAGTATGTATCAAATCCCCTTTTCCAGTTACTTAATTTGTAAAAACATTTTGCAGTTTTACTGAACTTTAGAATAGTAACCGTGATTTCATTTTATTCACAATGTAAATAGATTTAACTTGAATTTGTCAGAACGTCTAAATTGAAATTTCATTATTATATTGAACATAATATTTCAACAACATTAATTAGAATTGTGAGATTCTTAACAAATGCAGAAAAGTGCTGTTTGGAACAATGTTGACTGACAAATTGGATCCAAATCACAAGAAGTGTTTGTCAAGGATTGTTTATTGCTGTCAATTTCAAGCACCGAAGATCTATCCTCATTGTTGCCAAAGGAGGTTTTGAAAGTTTATGCAGCCTTGTGTGCAATTTACATATAATAATAATAATAATAATAATCCTTGCATTTGATATAGCACTTTTCACGTCGGGAGGACGTCCCAAAGCGCTTCACAGAAGACACTGTAAAGTGAATTGACTGTATATTTGTGGGCGAACGCGGCAGCCAATTGCGTACAGCAATGTCCCACAAACAGTCGTAGATTGAAAATGACCAATTTATTATTGTTTTTGGTTTTGGAGGGATTATTATTAGGCGTGTGGAGTAAGGAAACTTGCCCAAGGTTTCGCCCTGCCTGGAATTGAACTCAGGTCTCTCGCTTGCAAAGCGAGTGCTCTAACCACTGAGCTACAGGACTCCACAAAAAGGAAAAGTCTAGTGGTTTTCAACTAGGTAATCTGGGGAAGAGGGAGGATATGATTAAGTTCTCTGCACAGTTACCAGAAATTCCATATTAATAGAACTGATTGCAAATATTTTGCAAAGACAGCACCGAAAACATCTCTAAAACCATGTTTTAATTATAATTAGCAATTTCCTCCTCACTTCTACATAACCTGATATAACATTCACCTCAACTGAAAATAAGGCACAAATTCAACTGAAATTGAAATTGAAATACAAGTTGTTAAATTGAAAATTGAAGCACAATGCATCGACAGCTAAATTGCAACATTTTATGGGTCCCAAAATTGCTTCTGTATGTGCATGCGTAATGTATAAAAAACAAACATTGAGAACAAGAGAGAAAACAACAGCCAAATGGGTAAAAAAAAATCAGAAACCTGGCTTCTGTTTTGCAAATAATCATGACAGATAATAATTCAAATTTTAATAAAATGCAGCAATATATAAAAATAGTGTTATCCTTGGGTAAATTGTTAATAATAATAATCCTTGTATTTGATATTGCGCTTTTCGCGTCGGGAGGACGTCCCAAAGCGCTTCACAGAACACACTGTAAAGTGAATTGACTGTATATTTGTGGGCGAACGCGGCAGCCAATTGCGCACAGCAATGTCCCACAAACAGTCGTAGATTGAAAATGACCAATTTATTATTGTCTTTGGTTTTGGAGGGATTATTATTAGGCGTGTGGAGTAAGGAAACTTGCCCAAGGTTTCGCCCTGCCTGGAAATCTTGGGATCCATTTTCAACCAAAGTTTAGCCTCACTTTACATAAATCTAGCATTGCTGACAAGAGATGAGGCCAGAATATTTTCAAAATCAGTTCCCTGGAGAGGGATTTGCAAGGCAAACCATAAACCACGCTGCGTGCAAGGAATTTGTTTTTTGTATTACTTAGATCCAATATTAACTGAGCATTCAATGGAATGAAATATTCTTACAGGGTTCAAGCCAAGCTGAGTAAATCACCAGAAGTGTGACTTTGTTTCATCTTCTGAGTAATCCTGGTTTCCAGGTATATTAACAATTTATCAAGACAAGAATCCTTCACCTTCACAGTTGGAATATTATCTGTGAAACTAATGGTTCTCAGATCCTACTGCTTTACAAGAAGAAACTAAAGAAGGATTGTTATGTACATCATTTAATATCTAATTAAAGTGTAACAGTGATCGTAAATGCTGTGAAGATGAGAGAATTGAAGAAAGAGTACCAATTTATCAAAGGCATCCAATGTAATCTGCCTAGGAGTTATATTTCTATGTAAGTAATGGAAAAATATGAAATGGGATACAAGTTAACATTTTAAGATAATGAAAGAGACAGCATAAACATAGAAAGGTAATTTGAACAAAGCTAGAATATCCATGACTGTTCATGGGACACTGCTGTGTGCAATTGGCTGGCGAGTTTCGCCCACAAAGTATACAGTCAATTCACTTTAGAGCATATTCTGTGAAGTGATTTGAGACGTTTTGAAGATGTGTTACGGCGCTATATCAAATGCAAGGATTATTATTAATATAACACCTTGCATCTATATAGAGCCCTTCATAATAATAATAATAATCCTTGCATTTGAAATAGCACTTTTCACGTCTTCTCGACATCTCAAAGCACCTCACAGAATAGACTGTAAAGTGTATACTTGTGTATATTTGTGGGCGAAACATGGCAGCCAATTGTACACAGCAGCGTCCCACAAACAGTCGTGGATTGAAAATGACCAATTTATTATTGTTTTTTTGTTTTGGGGGGATTATTATTAGGCGTGTGGAGTAAGGAAACTTGCCCAAGGTTTCGCCCTGCCTGGAACTGAACCCAGGTATCTCGCTTGCAAAGCGAGTGCTCTAACCACTGAGCTACAGGGCTTCATGCGGGATAGTGTCACAGAAAGCTTAGCCAGAATAGAAGAACCAGAAGGCAATTATAAATTTAGGAAGCCACAAGCCACATTTAGAATAAGGAATAGCTTTTTCATGATTTGATTCATTGATGCACGGAATGGACCACATCCAAATGCAGTAATTAGACCAAGTGCTGATTTGAGAGACTGGTTTGGGGAACATAAAACCACTTTGAAAAAGATTGAGTTTGAAAAAGGACCTGGATGAGGGAGTGAGATTGATAGACTGAAGGTCCTTTGTTATTTCTACTATGTTTTTAAAATCTAACATATTGACAGTATCATTTCCAAGTCTCTTTTCTCCTTTTTACAACTATGTACTGTTGCAATCGAGATGAGAGTTATCAGAATGGTACACATTGTCATTTCAGATACCCACCATCAACGTTTAGAAACCTAGGGTCGGGATAGCATGATCAACTGCACTGTAAATCTTCTACTATTCTACCCTCTGACACATGTGTGCAACATTTCCATTTGCTACACGAGTGTTATATCTGGCCTCTTTGAATAAGATTTCCAAAGTAGTATCAATTAGTGGCAACATGGGGGCACTTTACTATCATGTATCAATACCTATGATGAACTGACTTGAAACTCCTCAAATGTATTTCATTTAAGACTCTCATAGCCAACAGAAACCTTCATCCTATCAATGTGGGATGTATTTGTCCAGGCAACTGACTTGAAATGACTAGGGTCAAACCCATTATGCCATGCGTCTGAATGACAATCCCTGAATGACAAAAAACATGATGATATTGCTATAGATTTATAAGGAAACAATGTATTATTAATTTTCATAAATAAAATAAATTGGCAAATATATTGGGTCCAATAACGGCTGAAATGGGGACCAGAGGCACACTTTGTTCCACAAGTAAATCACATCAGGAAAGAATTCCCATGGGAAAATGTGACCTGCTTCCAGTTGCCAAACTGAGTTCTTATTTGCATCTCTGAATTGTTGCTTAGGAATCTGTTTAAGAAACACAACAATTTAGACTACCAATATATATCTGACATATGCTATGAATGTCATTATGTATCAGTGACATGGGACAAATTGAAAAGTGGTGGTGGTGATGGAATAAAAGATAATTTCAAACAGAACATCTTTGTACCATCACCACCTAAAATGGAATCAGTAGATATTATAAGATACGCCAAGAGTTTTTTTTGTTTTACCTTTTAGATTTCCTTAATTCAATTACTGCCTTGGATCTAGAACCTGGATATTCAAAATACTTTTACAAAAAGGTCTTGCATATCTGTCTCAATCTTATGCATGTTTTATTAAATATACAACATTACTTTAACATAAATCTTTATGTTAAAACATATATATTGCTATTGTTTTTTTGGTGTACACATACCTGATGAGTTCAACTGTTTCAGAATACATAGTGTATGGAGATTTGGCTTCAAGAGGTCCTTGTTCCATTGCATTGCCACATTCAATAAAAGACAGTGCTGCATCTATATAATTGATTGCCTTTCCAAACTTCTCCACCTAAAGTGAATAAAAGCAACCTCAACACTGTTGTCACCATGTCAAATCAATAAAAAACAGTGCTTAAAAAGTTCATTTACACACTCATAATACCAACATGTACTCACCATAGCATCAGCCTGGTGTTTCATTCTCTTTGCTTCCTGCATATAGTAGTCTGCCCTGTGCTGCCTACACAAATAAAATTGAACATCCTAAAATAGTGTTTACTAATGTAAAAAAGATTTACACAGTAAGTTAACCATAAAAATATCTAAACAAAGTGATTATTTTCATTGCTAATGTTTCACTTTGCTTTAGTTTTTGCACTGATCATTTGAACATATTGCACTTTATCATTTTGCATAGAGCCTTACTCACTTGTCATCGAATATGAGCTTCGGTCTCCTGGAGTCTATAAACTCCTTTGATGCTGAGGACCACAGGTTTTCTTGAGACTGTTGATTATTGCAGCAAAGATGATTGTTTTCTAAATTAACTGGGAACCCTTTCTGCATAATAAACACAGTAAAATAATTTATTGTTCAGCATTACAATGTAAACAAGCATGAGAACAAGAAACTTCTTCCTACAAACTAAAGAGTTGGGTTTTGTATTGTATAATAGCTATGTGCTATTTGTTACAAGCAGTCAGTCAAGCATTGTGTGGTATAATAAACTGTACAGTGTACTGAAAATCTCTTTGATTTTTTCCAACATGCTCAGCAGGTTAACACAGTTTCTTCTAACCATGCATCCATAATGAATATCTGTTAATTTTCATTCAATCATTAATTTAAACATCAGTTAGAAAATAAAATTGTTACTGACACCACACAAGAGACTAAATAGAATGCACATTCAACATTAACTGGCCGTCCTTTACCACATTCAACATTTTAGGAATTTGCTAATTAAACATTGCTTATTAAAACAAATCTGTTAAGAACTAATGTGAATTCCTCCCCAGTATCTCTTTCAAACAATGTGTAACCTTAGCAGCTTAGGAATGAGTCACCATCTCCCAGAACTGGGACGAACAGAACAGTGTAGTTATAGAATTCACTGAATTGACCAATAAGTCAAACTATCCAGCTATATGAATAAAGTTCTCTGTTCTCTCTACAGACTATTTTAATTTGGGCCTTTTGCCCTTTCTTTCGGTATAACAACAGTCTCATCATTGTGGTTCTGGCTTACTTGCAGACAGCTGCTGACTGTAATGAAATTAAAATTTGCACATTCTACAAAGAAATGCTTTATTTGGTCATCTGAGTATGAAAAAAGAAGAGCCATTATATGTACAGACAGAAAAACAATTTCATGCTTCCAATAATACATTTGCTCTGCAGCTTGCCGGCAGTTAATATTTTTTGTCGTGTCCTCAGAAATGATAAATGCAAACATTATAAAAGAGAACAAAATATTAAATATGGATTAACATTTTTTCCATTATTTTTATTCTAACCCTCTGCTACTTTGAAGGTGAACTAATATGTTTTCCTTTCAACCTCTGCCATCCATTTCAGAGGGTGGGAATCACCTTTTAATAGCAGTCATTTTCATTGCAGATGATTAAAGGGGAAGTACCTGAAGATCTGACAGGATTACATCACAGAAGCAGCTCTGCCAATATCTTCAGGCGTGACTGAGACTGGTACTGTACATTTTCTCCTCCAAAGTAGAAATGCTTTGTTGCTTTGGAATCCACAAATTGACAACGGGAAAATACAGCACAGCAACTAGCCCATACCCAGTTGAAAATCTCCAGAATTCCAATCTCTTTCCCCGTCCCTTGGTTCAGCTATTTCCAATTCCAGTGTCAATAATGTACATGTGTGACTGTAATCTGCTGACACTGGTCATCTTTGCTCACTTTGTGCAAAGGCTGGCAAGCGTAAATGTGTAAGCAGGACACAATTGTACATGTGCAGAATTGATGTATATTGTATCCTGCGCTCAGTGTCACACAGTTTTTGCATAATGGCCTTGCTGGGCCACGGATACCAGTTGGGAACATCTGGTATACATATATATATATATAGACTGCGCATCAACATTTGTGGAACTGGCGAGCAATGTGTCAGTACACAATGTAGATCTTGTAAATTAACTATTGTCTGAATTCCAGTCCAAAATATCTCAACAGCCATTGTATGAACCAGAAAATTATTGAAAATTCATGATCTGATACTGATTATAAGTTTTGCTTTACATTATAGATTGTGGCACTTTTGCTTTAGCCTAATTACAAAATGAATATCATACTGCCCTACTCACATTTTACAGATATTTGATTTAAATCTAGTTTTATTATAATGTCTGGTGAGACAAAGGGTAATGAAGCAACTTTAAATGGCAAGGTAAACACAATAAAGAATACTACTATTACATGATATTCAAAGTCTGAATGCTATGTTTACGTACGCTTGAATCTTTAGTGCAAGTCTGTGCTTTGCTCTCAGATTTCCAATCCTTTGAGGAAAGGGATGCTGACGAGGAGTTGTCTGGCAAATCGCAGTTTCCTTTGACTGAAGTACTGGTTTCAGAGGGGTGTTTTTGTTCCGATATGTCTGATACAGATGAAAGTGAAGGATGAATTTCCTTTACTGTTTCATTTGTTTGCTTGGACATTCTGCATTTGGATAGAAAAATCCATAAAAATTAAATTTCATGTTGACAAAGCATACAACAATACTTAAAGAAATATTCACCAATTAACATAAAATATTCAGTGTTTGTGAGGCAAGCATGCTTTCTCTTATTAAAATATTAGGAGTGGAGTCCTGTAGCTTAGTGGTTTGAGCACTCGTCTTGCAAGTGAGAAGACCTGGGTCCAATTACTGGGCAGGGCGAAAGTTTTCTTACTCCACCAGCCTCTGTTTACCTAAGCAGTAAGTAGGAACCCGGTTGTTAGTTGATTGGCAGATCGCTTTAATGCCTTCGTAATAATGCCTTCCAAAATTTGGTCACTCAATCCACGACTGTTTGTGGGACATTGCTGTGCACAATTGGCTATTGTATTTCACCCACAAAATATATAGTCAATTGACTTTACAGTATATTCTGTGTAGCTCTTTGAGATGTCTCGAAGACGTGATAAAGTGCTATATTATGTGCAAGGATTATTATTATTACTGTAAGGAATTCTCACTTAGATTCTTTATTAATAATTATTAGATTCTTTAATAATAATCCCTCCAAAACCAAAAACAATAATAAAAATTGGTCATTTTCAATCCACGACTGTTTGTGGGACATTGCTGTGCGCAATTGGCTGCCGCGTTCGCCCACAAATATACAGTCAATTCACTTTACAGTATATTCTGTGAAGCGCTTTGGGACGTCCTCCCGACGTGAAAAGCGCTATATCAAATGCAAGGATTATTATTATTATTATTATTTAATAAAGAAAACACTTTAGTTTAGATGCAAGGAGTACACATTTTGGAAAATCAATTTTCTAATTCACCTATATTATCCTACAAATATACAGTCACTGCATTTCACAGTCAAAATCTGTGAAGCGCTTTAAAACGTCCTGATCACATGATAGGATGCTGTATCAAATGCAAGGAACCAATTAATACGATTATAGAATCTGTCATTGTTTTGATAAGTTGTTAATAACATTTGCATATTCCTACAAACACTATACTTCATAGTAATTCCTGTGAAGCTCCTGGTGAACACAAACACATGGCAAATCCTTTTTATTTTCAGAACTAAACTTTCAGAAGAGAATACCTTGCAGGTAACTGATTAGTTACATGAATGGTAAAGTATCATAGAACTTGGAAGTATTACTTTGATGCACAGTAAAATTAGCATAAAATGATTGGTTATATATACACTATTCTCAATTATAATTTCACTGAAAAATTATCCAATTGCTTTTTGAATCTGCTGATACACTCAGCCTCCAGTGTCATCCTGGGCATGTACACCACTGTGAAGTAATTAAACTAAACTATCTGTTCATCTTCCCTCTTCTGATCTTAAAATCCGTGTTACATGAAAGGCATATAACTACAATTTATCAAACGTTATTAGAATTCAGATTTTCTATAATCTTTGGATCTTCAATCCTTTAGAAGCAGAGTCAATTGTGGGTTTCAAAGGGAAGTAGACAGGTAACATGAAAGTTAAAGGCTTGAAGTTGTATGGAGATAGGGCTGGGGCAGTGGGATTGAATGGACAGCTTTCTCTAAGAGCTGGTGAAGACTTGATGGGTCAAATGGCTTTCTTCTATGCTGTAGATTTCTATGGTTCTATAATTCAATAAGAAGCTTCCTGGCTGTTCTTTTTGCCAGTGGGAACATTTTCTGCTTCATATTCTCTCTTTATAATTCATTCAACAAACTTAACCCAAAAATCTAATTATCAGTGAACAATACAACTAGTTACTACACTTATTAGTGTCATGAGGAATCTCATTCCTCTATTCTGATAATTGGTTATAAATTATACATTACCTTATTGAGAAGTTCTAGCTCCATAACTCTCATGTTTCTCATTTATTTCAATTTAAATTATGAATGTTATATAAATATATAATACTTGAATTTTGTGCTGGAATATCACAGGTCAAAATATGACTGAATGGTAATTAGCTTATTCTGATCAGTCAATATATATTTGTATAATGGGATATTGATGTCTAATCAATCTTGCAAACCAAAGTCCAGCAAGACAAGCATGATGTTTTTTGGTTATTTTTTGTGGGCATAAATCTACATTTTTTACTACTCTGGACTGCCAACAAAACTTAAATTTACCTTCAAAGAGATCTATTTTGCACAATAAATAAAATTCTTTGTTCTTATAATCTGAGCATCTTCCTGCATAAAACTAATGTTCTTGCATATTGGGTATTTTTTAGGGATATGTAGTTTCTGTTGTGAAATCGTTTTCTTACATTTGTAGGTGTATTTTAATATGGTATGAAAACCAACTTCAAGTAACAAAAATAAAATTCAGATAAGTGGCAGGAGGGATGGGGAACTTTTTTCATTGTTAAAATTCATTGTTAAAATTCAGTATTTCAAGCTTGGCAATAGCAAAATAAATATCTCTATTTTAGCAGATTCAGAATAAATGAACTCCACAAAATATTCAATGTTCCCATTGTTTGCTTGACAAATAGTTGCCTTTCATTTGCCAAAGTAAACAAAGTATTAGGAGCATAGGAACAGTAGGCCATTTAGCCCCCACAAGCCTGTTTCACCATTCTATTAGATCATGGCTGACCTGTACCTCAATTCCATTTTGCTGCATATCCTTTGATTCTCTTACCCAACAAATATCTATTCACCTCAGTCTTGAAAATTTAAATTGATCCAGCATCCAGAGCCTTTTGGAGGAGAGTTCCAGATTTCCACTACCCTTTTTGTAAAAACGTACTTCCTGACTTTACTCTTAAATGGCCTAGCTCTAATTTTACGATTATGCCCCCTAGTTCTGGATTCCCCACCAGAGGAAATAGTTTCACTGTATCTATCCTATTCAATCCCTTTATAATTTTAAATACCTCTATTAAAGGATGCAATTCAGTATATCCAACATTCTGTCCACAGTGTTTGTAAATAGGATAAATTGCAACACCTACTCGCTGATGGTAATAGCTTTTTGAGTTGGCACAGAAGAGTTATCAGTGAAGGGTAATGCTGCAGTTAAAGGTTCATTCTCCAAATGGTTCTTCTTATTCTCACTATGAGCATCATTGGTTTCAGACTGAAAAAAACACAATAAAATAAATTATTACAGACTTTAATTGTACAATAGTGATTTGAAAGTCGCTTTCATCAATAGATGTAACACCTTATAATTTGGTCTAACATGGTGGTATTTCTCAGTAGGATTTATTTAATAAAGAGACTGAGTAGCAAGTATGGGCACACCTCGACGTATCTCGACGTATATCATGATTCATGAGAACTCAGTTCCAATGCAATCTACTTCCAAAGTGGGGTTCCTTTAGGTCAATGGGAATGCAAACAGGATTCCATATTAAGATGGCTACCCGCAGCAATTTTCACATGCAATTTTTAATGAATTCAGAATTCTGCAGTCCCTGCAATGGTAATGTCACTGGGGAAACAAATTTGCATGTTATCATTGTGAAAAGCAAAGACATGTATTTGTTTGCACACCAACATTGTCTTTTTTTCTCGGCTTCCATCAACACTCCACAAGGAATACTGAATATTGAGGTAATCGCTCATAGATTCAACTAGGTTGATATCTAATACGTAGAAATGCACTAAAACAGAAAGGGCTACTGATGAACAAATATAATTGTCTGAACTTGACCAAACCGAAGTGTGTAAGCTCATGCACAGCACACTAAGGGTCAAATACATTTACAAGGGAATTCAGCAAACCTAAGGTTCCCCTCTTATGATAATCAACTGCAGAGTTTATCGTAATGTTTACAGAAACAACATTATTCATTATTTGATTATAACGGCAATGCTCACATATGTATATGCATTATTATTATTATTATTGCATAGAATTTCATAAAACAACAGTTCTGTACTCCATAGTACATCTTGTTCCACCATGAAAGGAGATTAGAAAAACAAATGCTGCCATGTTCGCCTACAAATATACGGTTACTACACTTTACAGTAAAATCCTGTGAAGCACAATATGAAAGGATTATTATCATATTCTTCCCTGTTTCAAGCTCCACAAACCCATCACCCCATCCTCACCAGGCTTCTCTAGCTCCGTGTTCCACAGTGGATTGACTTCCAAGATCCTCATTCTGACGTTTAAATGCCTTCACACCATTGTCCACTTTCCTCTATGATCTCCTGCATTCCTACTCTCTTGTCCACTCTGTCTGTTGTTCTAACTCTGGCCGGCTGCACATTCTCACCCCTTCCACACATCATCAGCGGGCAAGCTTTCAACTATTCTTCCCCAATCTCTGGGAATCTCTCCCCATGTCTCTCCATCTTGCAATCTCCTTTCCTTTCATAACTCTTGTATAAACCTAACTCTCTGTCTGGTCTTTTGATCGTCTAACAGCCTATGCCTCCAGAAAGCCTTATTATTGTATTATAATCATAATAATAATAATCCTTATATATAGTGCCTTATAACAGCTCTGTACCATTATTATCTTACTCTTTTGTGTCTTCCGATAATTATGCTTTATCATTTTTGAGTCATGTTTAATAGATTGTCAGAATACCTTGCGTTTTCTTCTTGATTTTGCTGTTTTTTCTCGTAAGGAACTAGAACCTTCATCAATGATATCACTTTCTTCCCCCTTTGTGTCACTTTTTTGGGCTAAAGACTCTTTGGGTAAATGACCAGGAATTCTGGACAAAAGTGTCAAATCAATTTTTACCCACAGTGACTTGGCTTCTTCATTTTCTTTTAACTGTGAAAGAAGTTCATTTCGACCAAAAGGAACTAAAGTAAACAACTGCCCATCTGAGTCATTGGGTGGTTCATTCGTAGTCCTTGCATTAACAGAGCTCACTGCATTGCAACTACTGACTCTGCTGAGGTTGCTGCTACAGTCCTTTAATATGTGGTTGCTGGCTGGTGGAGTAGAAGTTGATGAACATTTGGCCAGAAGAGATTCTTCATGATCTGAGTCCAATCCTGAGCATGAAGAGGATGAAGAAGATGATGAAGAAGATTCGGTGTCAATAAATTCTTTTGATTTAGGTAGATTTTTGCCAGGTCCCTTGGGTTTTCTCTTGTCACAAAGAGAAGTGGTCTGTGGTTCTTTTTTAGGTCCTGCTTTGTTGGCATTAGGCTTGGGTTTGTGCTGTTGTGATGCACCAGTGTTCTGGCTTGGTTTGCCCTTAGGAATATTGTTGTGATTCTCCAGATTGAGCAAGCTGAAATCGTCGCCAGTGGATGCTCTTTCTGCCTTACTGGGTTGCTTTTTGCCAAGTGTTTTTCTCTGAGAGGCATTTTCATTCTGAGTAAGTGGCTTCTGTTTGCCACCTTTAGTGACTGGAGTTTTATGAGCAGTTCTAGGTCTCTGCTTTTCTCTATTAGGGCATGGACTTTCCTTCTCTTTGAAGTCTGTTTGATTAGGTGCAAGAGCTTTTCCCTTTTCTTCGTTCTCACACTGCTGTTGTGCATGGAATGGATTGTTGCTGAGCCCATGGTTGGTATTTTGGCTAACAGTAGCATTCTTGTTGCGTGGATTCACCTTGTTTAACCATTTGTCAAGTTGCCATTTGTTAGTTGATGGCTGTTCTGGCTGCAAACATATGAAGATGTAATATACTGTTCTAACGCAACAAACAATTGCACTATACCAATTACTGATTGCAGATTTGTGATTACATAACAGTAATTTTATACAAACATGCATTTAGTCGCTATTTCTGATTTTAATATGATATACAGATCAAAGGTATTATTATTAGCGTTTTTGATTTCTGCCCTGAAAGATAAATTCTCGAATTAATTTAGTAGCAGTTTGTGCACTTAAATATGATAATTAATTAATTCATTCAACTGTTCCAGATAATAGAGAAAATAGCCAAAACTATTCTTATGGGGGCGTGGTGGGGGTGTGGGGGGAGAGGGGTAGCTGAGCTAGCTCAAAGGTGTTGTGCTTGGCAATGGAATGCTGGAGTTCTGTCAACTCTCTGTGGGTGTCCTGGTGATCTAGTTCCTGAGCCAAGCAGGTCTGTGGTACTCCAGGGAACTGCTGATGATAAACAAGTCAGCCTGACCCAGCAGCTGGTTGAACTCCAACAGTAGCTTAATGCACCTCCCTACATCTCAAAATTGCTTATATCCCACTCCTCTTGCCTACTTCGCTCAGCCAGCACCGGCCTCCTGCACATCCTCCTCCTCTTCACTCCACTATCGGCACTGTGCATTTAGCCACTACGTCTTGAAACGCTGGAACTCACTGCCTCAATCCCTACACAATGCCTCCTCTTTGCTTGTCTTTAGCTTGAACTTAAGACCTTTCCCTTCAACTCTGCCTACTCCCTGGCTCAGGGTCAAGCTCCGTCATTATTAAACACTTAAAGATGCTACCCCTCATGATGGGCTTTACGAATACAAGTTGTTGCTGTTGCACACTCTGGATTCCCCAAGCTATGGTTCTTGCCAAAATTTGCCTAATACTCTCTGGAATTAGGTATGATGGTAGCGTCCCTCCAGGGAGAGAGCACAGTAAAATTTCCATGTGTTCAGGGAATACACAAGTGGAAATCTCAGTTTGGTTTGAATACTTAAGCATGATGATGGATTTCCACATGTGTCAGACACCCAGCTGACCAAATAAATAATCCCAAATTTAGGTTCATGATATGAATTATTGTAGTTCAGTACAATATTGTGTAAGAGTTATTGTATTTCAAGCATCACAGAGCAAATAACAGTTGTTTGTGCTGTATTACAAATTACAATACTCAATATTATTTTCAAGACATATATGGGAAGATACTGTAAATAGCTACATAATTTAAAATATCCATTATTCTGGTACAGTAGTTACTTCAAAATATATCTGTGGTAAAGAAACAAATCTCAGTTAAGTGTATTAATTACCATGATAGTTAAACACCCAAAACACTATAAAATTAATTTCTGAATTCATCTGTCATGGCATAATTGAAAAATATAATTTTCTAATACATTATGTTGTATTATAAGATGCTGGAGATGCTGGATTTCCTTGAATCCAAAATCAAGGGAATCCGCTCCGCGGTCACTCCCCTTCTAACTTCCACCACTTTCCTTCCACACTCCGACTCCTACCCATCCTCCCCTGCACACCTTTGAACCCGTTTCCCCACCCTCTGTCACCAAACTCATCCTGTCCCTGAAACCCACCACCTGCTCCCTTGACCCCATCCACACTCCACTCCTTATCTCTCAGCTCCACCTCCTTGCCCTACTTATCACAGACATCATCAACCTGTCCCTCTCCTCTGGCTCTGTTCCCATTCCCCTAAAAACTGCCACCATCACTCCCACTTTGAAAAACCCCTCCCTTGATGCTTCACAGCTATCAAGCTACCGGCCCATCTCCAACCTCCCCTTCTTGTCCAAGGTCCTTGAAAGAGTTGTCGCCTCCCAGCTGCGCTCTTTCCTCTCCACCCATTCATTATTCAAACCCCTTCAGTCGGGTCTCCGTGCTGCCCATAGCACAGAAACCGCCCTGGTCAAGGTCACCAATGACATCTTGTCCATCTGCAACCAGGGCTCCCTCTGCCTCCTCGTCCTCCTCGACCTATCGGCAGCATTCGATACGGTCGACCACGGTATCCTCCTCCACCGCTTGTCCTCCCACCTCAACCTTCAAGGTCCTGTCCTTGAGTGGTTTAGGTCGTACCTCTCCCACCATCTTCATTTTGTTTCCACAAACGCCTTTTCCTCCAGCCCCCTCACTGTCTCGTGTGGTGTCCCTCAGGGCTCTGTCCTCAGTCCCCTCCTCTTCACCCTCTATATGCTCCCCCTTGGTGACATCATCCGCAGACGTGGGGTTAACTTCCACATGTATGCGGATGACACCCAACTCTACCTTTCTTCCTCTACCCTCAACTCCACGACCACCGATGTCCTGACAGCCTGCCTGTCTGACATTGATTCCTGGACAAGAGAAAACTTTCTTCAGCTTAACGTGCGCAAAACTGAGGCCCTCCTGATTGGCTCGTGTCAGTGCCTCCGCACCTCAGGCGCTGACAGCATCAGCATCCAAGGCTGCACTCTCCACCTCTCAAAGCCAGTCAGGAACCTCGGGGTTCTGTTCGACCCTGAGCTGTCCCTTCTTCCTCATATCCGCGCCACAACTGGCACCACCTCCATCACCTCCGAAACATCGCCAGACTACGGCACTACCTCACCACTCACGCTGCTGAAACTCTGGTCCACGTCTTTATCACCTCAAGGCTGGACTATGGGAACTCTCTCCTCGCCGGCCTTTCCGGCACCTCCCTCCACAAGCTGCAGGTCATTCAGAACTCTGCAGCTCATGTACTGTCCCGCACCAGACTTCGCAATCACATCACTCCCACCCTCGCTCGCCTCCACTGGCTTCCCATCCCCCAGAGGATCGAATTCAAGATCCTCATCCTTACCTACAAGGCCATTCACGGCCTCGCTCCCTCCTACCTCTCCAACCTACTATCCCCCTACTTACCCGCCCGTACCCTCCATTCCTCTGGCTCCAGTCTGCTCCACATCCCCCGCCCTAACCGCCCTACCATCGGTGGCAGGGCCTTCAGCCTCTCAGCCCCCAGGCTCTGGAACTCCATCCCCCAGTGCCTTCGCCTTGCTTCCTCCCTTTCCTCCTTCAAGGCCGGTCTCAAGACCTTTCTCTTTGACCGTGCCTTCAGCTCCCCTCTCGACTCTCTTCCCCCTCCTCGCTCCCTCCCTTCCCTCCCCTCACCCTGACCATTTCCCCCCTGCTCGGGTCCTGACCCAACTGTCCAGCGCCTTGGGACGTCCTCCCGACGTGAAAGGCGCTCTATAAATGAAATCTCGTTGTTGTTGTTGTATTTTCTGTTAAAACCAGAAACAGCTAACTGAACAAAACATGTTTTGATAATGATGCTCTCATTTCCCTTTATGGCATCCACCCATAATCTTAAGGTCTACCACATTGCTGTTTAAAAAGTTGCTGGTACCTCGGGGGTGGTGATGGATGCAGGCTTGTTGCCATCGCTGTCACTGGAACTACTTTCACTCTCAGAGTCAGACTCCGAGCTGCTTTCTGATCCACTGGAACTGCTTGACCCGGCGTTGGAATGACCTGAAGCTGCAACCTGGGCTTGGTGCATCAGATCACTGTGAAAAAACAAAATAATGAAGATTGAAAATTGAACCTAATATTTATTTCCAAGACCCAGAAAAAATGTACGATTAGTTACTCTGATACTAAACTTCTACAGAACAGTGATTCAGTCCTACCAAAAGTGCAACATATCATTCTGATCACCTGGTTATAGTAGAGATGGCATTAAAGAGGACAAATAGCACAGAACAACTAAATTGATTGAGTCATGAGAAGAGGCTTACATAAGCTAGGAGTGTTTATAATAAGAGAAGGCTCAAGGGGACAGCTTACCTGTAATGAAATATTTAAGACCATATCCTAATACTGCAATATGTTTAGCATAATTGCAAATTCTACCATATCTGCACCAATGCATTGAGTACGTCCTCATGTAACTGGATGCTTCCCCTCTGATGTGAAATGACAAAACTGATGTAAGGTGAGGAACTGTGTGTTTGTGTTAAATCAGAATTATAAAATTGTTGTCTCTTCAGCGAAAGTATAATTTATGTAGTTTGTGGGTGGGGGGGTGGGGTCTGCATGCTTATTTGTCCTTTGTAGTAAGGATATATTGTTTGTAGTATTCTACTTTGCATACCTTTGTTTAAAACTCACACATTACAGTATTCTCTAATTCCTGTATTCCCTCTGACAGCATGCTTTATTGCACAGCTATAATCTGTGTTTTCATTTTTGATACTGTACCATACTTTCAAAATCCAGAAGGTATTGCTTTTGTCCTGACTTATACACCCAGGATTGCATGACTCATCTGCAACAGATTGGAAATAACCTTCTTTGTTTCACTGGAAATAACACCTGCTCTGCAGTGGCTGGCATGATTCATATTCCCATGAATAGTTCATACCTTTCAAAAAAGTCTGTTCTACTCTTCATTAATAGAATCTATTGGTGCATTGTCCGCTCCAATAGGTGTCATCTTAAAGTTTTCTCCGTGGAGAAGTTTAAAGTAGCAGAAATATAACAGATGTATATCATCTATATCTTATTCAGGTGCTGTACACCATTTGATGATGCTGACAGCATCAGCATCCATGGTTGCACACTCCACCTTGCTAAGTCAGTCCAGAACCTTGAGGTCCTGTTTGACCCTCAACTATCATTTCTACCCCACATCTACCCCATGACTCGCTATGCCTTCCCCCATCTCCGCAACGTCGCCTGGCTCCGACACTGTCTCGCACCTCAGGCTGCTGAAACCCTCATACATGCCTTCATTACATCGAAGCTCAACTATACAAACTCACTGCTTGTCGGCCTCCCCAACTCCTCACTCCACAGGCTGCAGATTATCTAGAACTCTTCCACACTAGACTCCACGACCCTATCAGCCCCATCCTTGCCCAACTCCATTGGCTTCCCATCACATACAGGATACAGTTCAAGATCCTGGTCTCACCTTCAAAGCCTCCATGGTCTTGCTCCCCCCTACCTCTCCGACCTCCTAATCCCCTACCATCCTGTTCGTTCCCTCCGCTCAGCGAGCTCTGGCCTGCTTCATGTCCCCGCCTTGCTCGCCCCACTATTGGTGGGCAGGCCTTCCGCCACTCTGCACCCACCCTCTGGAACTCCATCCCTCCGCCCCCTCCGTCGCCACCTTAAAGACCGTCCTCTTCGACCGTCCTTTCAATTTCCCTGCTTCCCACCCTGCTCTCCAAACTCCCTCTCTCATAGTAAAATATGCAAAATGTTCTCTGTTTAACATGTGTTTCACTGCAAGATTTTTTAAAATGGGTCCTAATGTTAGCTTTATGCAGAGCCCAGTACAATATTGAGTTGGATCCCAGAATTGGAAATACTTTAATTATCATATTTTATATTTTGTCAGAAAAACACAGGATCACAGAATAGTTTCATACTCTTTACACAATATTCTAGTAAGAAAAATAATAAAATGCCATTGATGTGTTCCTCAAATGCAAAACCAATTAACAGAGTTACGCATCATTTCTTCTCAGTATTACAATAAATTAAAGTGTTTCTGAATATTGCACTTAACATTTTCTGAGCTTGTTGAATAATGTTGGTACACATGAATAATTAATAATGTAGCAATCCTGTGTGGAACCAAGGAATTTAGGTGAAATTAACATAATAATACTGTGCCTCACAGGTTACCTCCATGTTGACTGAATAGAATCCCTTTGATTAATGTACAGCGCTGGATTTTCAGCAGCATTTTATATCTCGGCATGTCAAAAGTTGACAGCACTTTTGAAAGATTCAGCAATAAAACTGTCCTGAACACTGCTCTTTATGTTTTTTGCTCTAGGAAATGTATGAAGCACAAAGAATCCTGAATCATACTTTTTGATAACTTCCTGTAAGCTATTTGATATTGTGATGTGTGCAATGCCAGAAATAATCTCGCCTGGAACTTGAAAGGACTTTGGCAACAAAAATATATTCAAGGCTACTGTAATATTGAATGTCATGCTAAAAGCACTGAGATAAAGGTATCAGCCTGACTCAGTTGACAGCACTCTGAGTCAGAAGGTTGTAGGTCCAAGTGTCACACAAGTACTTTGAATTCATATTGTCCAGGCTGAAACTTCAGTGTAGTACTGTGGAAGCACTGCATTGTCAGAGGTTCCATCCTTCAGACGAGATGTTAAATTGAGGTCCATTCTGTCTATTCAGCTGAACGTTAAAGATCTCATGACACTGTTTGAAAAGAGAAGGGAGTTTCTCCTATTGTCCTGGCCAACAATCCCTCACATAAAAATTGGTCATTCACTTCATGGATGTTTATGGGTGATTACTCTGTGCAAATTGGCAAGTGTGTTTGCCTACAAAAATACACAGTCACTACACATCATAGTAAATCTTGTAAAGACATTGTCTTAACATGAAAGGCATTATAATATTCAAATGCAAGGATCATTATTATCTGTAGAAACAATGTCCAAATCTTGAGCAATCACATTATGAGGTCAAAATTGTGGTATTCCTAAACACATGCCATTTCTTAATTAAGGAACACTATTAAAATGTGGTTTGAAACACTATACCTCAATTTCTGAATAACGGTATTTCCCAAAGGCAGCTGAATATATTTGAGCCCCCAGCTTAGCTTCCTATTCAGTGAAGCTGCTGCTTTAGAAAGTGAAAGTACCACTTTTCAAGATATAGATTCACAGGATATATTGTGGAGAGGTGAGACTGTGTGTTTTGTTTGCAAATGCGACAGCCAATTTGCACACAGCAATGTCCCACAAATAGCCATGGAGTGAAATAACCAATTTTATTTGGCAGATTGTTGGCCGAGGATAAACTGGTTTCTCTTTTTGAAAGTGCCAAGGAATCTTTAAAGTCCAAATATTATAATCCAGGAGCTAAAACTTTTAGTTACTTTGAAAAGAACCTTAAAGCACCAACCAGCTTATGTTATGCCTGTGGGGATTGCCATGTTTGCAGTGTGTGACTGCCATTTTGAACCTGCACCTTCCTGAGTTACAATTTTGTGTTTAAGTCCAGATGCAACGACACACAGAATACTGACTTCACTATTGAATTTAATGCAGAATTTCACAAGGCTGACGGGAAACCCGCCTACCTTGCGTTCATTGACTTTCGCAAGGCTTTTGACCGAGTGTCTCATGAGACCCTCATGATGAAATTAGAAGCTATGGGAGTACATGGTCGAATCCTGGATTTTTTCCAGAATGTGTATTCCAGCTGCAAGATCCATGTAAGGGTCGACCGTGGACTTACTGAGCCCATCCCTCTGGTTAGAGGGGGTAAGGCAAGGCTGCCCATTGTCAATCACCCTGTTCGATGTGTTCATTAATGATGTGTTGGATGGCATTGAAGGGAAGGACTTGATGTATCTGTTCTAGACCTCTCTGACAAGATTGCGGTGCTTTTGTTTGCAGATGATTTGTGCTGCTGGTCAAGTTCGTCACTTTTCAAGGGCAGCAAGGTCCCAATGCAAGTCACTCTTGTGGCATACAAGACCTGTGTGCAAACAGTCCTCCTTTATGGAACTGAGCACTTGGGAATGCAGAGGAGAGGCTTCCTCCGATCCATCTGCAAATTCCAGGATCAAGCATTGAAATGAATTTGTGCCAAACACTGGAAGTGGCTGCAGGGAGGGAGGGCTCCAGCCTACACACCCTGGCAGCTTCACAGCGGGCATGTTTATTTACCAAGGCTCCTTACATGAGGACCTGGATCAAGCAGCTGGTGATGAGCAGGCCTGATCTTAGACTTGGGCCTTGAGAACTTAAAGGTGGGTGGCACGTCACAAGCGGTCCTGTAAAGGTCCTCCCACCACTCTGAAGCACACAGCCACCAGATATCTGATGAGGAAACTCTTGAGGCTTAGAGCGACAACTGCTGGAAGACATCACCTGGAGTCCGAGTTCATGAATATGAGTTTGTACATCCAGCGCCTGGAATCCACCTTGATTGCCCTGCAGAGACACTGCTGCTGCTTAAACTCCGCAACTCTAATTGGTGGAACATTGCTCAATGGGAAGGCATGTGTGCCAGAGCTGTAGACAAGAAGATGGTGGCAATGCTCTCACACATTTCATGCTGAGATACGTTGTCCACTGGGAAGCTTGCAGGTAGTTCCTTGTGAGGATCAAACCCGCGCTTGTCGGATGTCGAACGATCAAGATCAGAATCTGTGGACGTCTCAGTAGTCCGGTTCCTGAGCCAGGCGGGTCCACGGTATTCCAGGGTACTGTTGATGACAGCACAGCCAGCCTGGCTCATCGGCAGGATTTGGAAGGGCAGATCAGTCACTGGGGGAAGTGAGTCATCCCACTCATCTTATGTTAACCTGCAAGCTAAAGCCCTAATGGACAGGGTGATCCTAGCTGGACAAGCAGCGGGAAAACTTGTCAGACAGCAATATTAATGGCTATGCGGTGATAGCTGGTTAAACTCCAGCAGTACCTCAACGAGCACTCTGGTGTCCCCAAGCCTTGGCCCTTGCGAATCTGTGCCTAATAGTTTCCAGAATTAGGTAAACAGGATGCGT